TCAAAAAAAAACCTTTCAAGATTTATTACACACCTATATCCTAAAGGCGTACCACAAACTATTATATTCTATTTATTCACACTAAGACATTATCACAATATAAATCACCTAGAATGGAGCAACATACGCTATGATCCCTTAATAAAGCAACTTTTAAAAACTGTAGAAGGCAATCATATTTTTAAGCCAACACGGCAAAAAGAACATATAACAAGAGACAAATTATACAAGATCAAATCAGGACTAAATTTAACAGCCCTGATAATTTACTATTATTAACAGTAGCATTAGTAGCATTTTATGGCTGGCATAGTTGGGTGAGTTATTGCCTGGCTCAGATGATACAACAAAAAACCAACTATGCAAGCCTTAAGGTTCAATAGAACAGGGAGAGGCTCTTTTGCAACTATACAACTACCAAGAACCAAGGATCACAACACATTCGAGCATCCAACCCTAATTGCCAATTCAACCAAAGATGGAACGTGTCCAACTCATATGCTCAAAGCATATATCATCCGCAGGACTGACCCAGGGTATGCTCCAGGGAGCAAAATATTGTTTTAAAAGCAAGTGTGTGCCTAGTGATGAAACGGTGGTTTATATATAAACTCAAGTCCCTCCTGCCAAAGACAAATATAGCAGTGCATAGCTTCCGAGCAGGAGGGACAACAGAACTGGTTTTACGTGGCATACAACTAACACTTATTCAAAAAATTGGCAGATGGTCATCAGATGCATTTTATAGGTAGATTTGAACGCATCGAAACAGTAGCAGCCATACTAAACAAGGCATATTCTGAATAACGATTGCGAACAGGTTCTTTTTTTTTGGAACCAATCGTTATACAGGTCGGGACATCAAAATAAAAAAAGGAAAAAAACCCCCCGTCACATTGCAATGAACACCAGCACTCGGTTACAACAAAATCCGAGAACAAATGAATAAGCTACAAACAATCAATTAAATAAATAAATAAATAAATAATAATAATAGTGAATAAATGAAATAATGGCAGTATTCAAAATCATTGGAAGACCAGTAGAATCCTGCCATTTTTAACAAATCCTTCGTTTTACAGCCGGCATGTGCTATACGGATGGGAAGCCACCGGCTAATATTATGCATCACTAATTTACTCATAAAACTTCTGCTCAACAGCCGGCCTGCTTTATGCAGATGGGAAACCACCGACTGAGCTACAAGTCACTAGTTCAATTATACATCAATTGCACTGATGTATGCTATATACCCTTTAAAGCAATTTAATAAAGTTTTATTATCCAGCGCTATTTGGGCTGGAGGGCATCCAACAGATATCTAAATCACGTGCGTGCTGTCCGTTTCGTTGACAGGAATTTGAAAGGGACTTATATAGATATTCATTGAATGTTTATACAGATATTTATTGAATATTCATACAGATATTCATCAAATAATTTATACGAATATTCACACAGATATTCACAATACTGTAGATATTTACATAAATATTCACATACGTAAATTATTTTCACAGAATATTCACGCAGTTATTTATATGAATATCCAAATAGATTATACAGATAATTCACAGAATATTCACAGATTTTATGTAATAGAATATTCATATCCTAATTGAATATTCATTTTAACCATGAATATTCACGGTTCCCAACTCTACGTAGTGGTTATATAATTCTATTGTATCACTTAATTTTGAATGACCACAATATTCCCATCAAACATTTTCACTTTGACACCGAATACCTCTTTTTATTATTATAGTCAAACCTCCCTATAGTCTACCTTCCATATAAGCACATCATATAAAATAAGCACATTTTCAAAAACAAAAAAAATCTCTATGGTCCCAACAGTGTGATTATAGAAAATTAGAGTGTATTATTTATTGAACTTAATTAGGCATCGCACCATGCAATGCATTTATATATCGCACCCTAACTATCTACCAATTAAATTGTATATCTGCAGTATAACGTGAAGATCAGGTTAACTAATAAAAATATTATTTTGCAAAATTTTACTATATACTATGCCCTACCTTAACATCTATCAACCTTAAATTATTATATAAAAATTGATTTTATGTTATGCGGATTTGCAATTATTGCTTATATAGAGTTGCGATATACAAGTGCATCGCATAATGTGATGTATACATTTATTCTTATTTATTTTTATTTTATTAATTTTATATTTATTTATTACTTACTGTATCATGTTGATAATGATTCGCACGGCATATATTTTGTTAGTAAATACGTAACAAGCCATATAAATTTCATCAGAATAAACTTCAATAAGAATCTTATGTTTTATTTCATCAATGGTTTTATGATAAAAAAAGCAATTTATACTTTTATTGTATGTACACTTCAAAGTAACAGAAATATGAAAATGACAAAAAATAACGCATACAACATAACAGGCAGATTTAGGCAGACTTTCTTGTTGCTAATGTAAAAAATTTAAACTTCAATTTACAATTATTTACAATCTTTCACTTTGTAATAATACCAATACTACATATTTGACGTGAAAAACTTCCATGAATTCCAATAGCTGATGCATATTCATTAAGAACGCGATATAAATCCCCTTTCTCACCACCACGCCAATCAGAAATCCGACCTTGATCGGTATGAAATTGGATTGCATACAACACAGATCCAATTCGTTTAAAGATATACTTAATTTTTTCACCTTTATGCCAATCAAAGTCATAAGAATCACCATCGCCTGGTGTACCGTATATGGTAAAAGTATCATCAGAATAAAAGAATGCAATGGCATTGACAATGTCTGATGACCAAATTCTTATTTTTTTAAGATAAGCCTTATTAGGTTTTTCAATCATTGCACGAAATTCAGTACAATCACGATTTCGAGAATTAATTATATCATCAAAATAATAAGAATCAATTGGCTTATATCCCAATTGTTTCTCTGCAGAAGAAAATTTTTCGTGTTGTTTTTCAAGATCATCGATTGCTTTTCTCAAATATTTTATATCTTCAACAGTTGCAATTTTTGTAAAACTCTGAACATATCGAACTTCTTTATCAACATCTTGAATCTTACGACGGTATTCTTTTAAAAAGTTTTCAAAGTTCATAAGACTCGGGGCTAACTCTCGTAGCAATTTTATAATAGATTGCACCCGTTTAAGCTCTGATTCTGCTCTCTTACGTAAATAATAATCGATAACTTCTCCTGACCAGTGTTTTTTTAAGGCTTGTTCTGCCTCACGTTCACCATCAATAAGATATGCGTGTGCGTTGTTTGCACCATGTTGGATTTTAGAAATTGAGTTAATAACTTGTTTAAGTTGCTCTTGAAGACCAGGTATCTGTCTTTCTATCGCTTTAAGACGTTCACGAATAAAACTTGCAAGAATATTTGAAGTTGATTTGCTATTTGATCCAATAAATTTGTTGAACAAGTTTTCTTCGGATTGTTTAACCTTTTCAACTTCTTTAGTGATTGATTTTATTTCATCTGCAAGTGACCACAAGAAACTCTCTGCTTGATGACGAAATTCTCCTAGTTCGTCGCCTGCGACTTGTATTTCTTTATCTAACCCAAAAAGTACATCAGAAATTAATTTTCCATTTTTAACAATAATATCACTTTTTTTCATTATCACACCAAGATCACGAACAATGATACGATATTTATTCATTTCACTTGTTTCTGAATAAAATTTAAAAGAACTAATTAGTTAATTAAGTTAAATTAATCTGTGAAAATATTACGCAATTACTGTACCTGGAATTTCAAGTGACGATAATTTTTTCGAACCAGAACTAAATATGTCTACAATGTTTTCGAAGTTGCGACCTTCATTTGGTTGAGGACTATTTTGTCTAAATCGGAATATTAAATAAATTTCAATTTAAATAATTTAGATATTAAATTATTTATCTAGATAGTTTCTTAAGCCATAAATTAAAATAAACATTTTTACTATGACAAGATAAATCAAAATGGCAAATAATAAAATCACTGCCAATAAGTATTTGTTTAGTGGTTTTTTTCCATTATTATTTGTTGAAGTTGTTCGGGATGGGGCGTTACTAACAAAGGATTGATAACGCTGTCGTATGGTTGAAAATGCTAAGATATTTCGGTTCGGAAAATACTAATAAATTAGAAGGACTAAAAAAATTCTATAAAGTGAAGAAATAATAATACCTTCTCTCGAAGAAGAACTTCCAGAATTCTTATCTATCTGCATGATTAACATTAAACGTTCGAAAAATAGATGAAAGAATACGTATATGTAAAGTATGATTATGTACAATTGTCCTAAGTGGGAATGGGATTTTGAATTTCCTAGGTTAGGGTGTAGGTTTATATAAAAATAAATTCTACCCTAAAATTGCAATTTTATCAATTTCGTTCCCACTCAACATCAGAACATACTTAAACTTTGTTCCCATTCACAACATACTTTAATTACGTAAATAAAGAAAGTCGTCGTGGAAATGGCATTCCTGTTATGGAAATAATCATGCCGTGAAAGGCATTTCTGTTATCTGTTATGGAAACAATCATGCTAGTATAAATACGTAATTCAAGATTGTGTTATCAATTCCGATCAACACATTCAGTATCATTAGCATGAATTCGTTTTGCAGAGAAAAGTTCTTATTGAGAACTTCATTTCGGGAACCAAAAATTACCGTTCCCAACAGACAATTATTACAACCAATACAACCTAAGAAACAAACAATCTACAGTAAAGTCAATAACAAAGATGCTACCAGAATTCCACCATTAGTGCTAGTCGCTAATCTTAGCTTGATGGTTATCCTGGCTGTTATTTTCAAATTTTATTACGAGGTATGTTGAATCTATTTAATATATTTTGGGCATGTATTTTCTATAATATTGTTTCTAATTAATTTGTAATCTTAAAAATTAGTCAATATTTGAATTATTTTTTCCAGTAAGATTTATTTTGTTACTGCTAAACTCTAAACCACAAAACTTAACATGGAACTAAAATTACAACTTAACATGCAACTTATGATATAGCCTTTTGATTGGCCTATATTTAGAGATCTTACAAACACCACCAGTTTAATTTCTGGACAACTCGTTGAACTTAATATCCCAGGTACATTGTATTTTTAATTGTTGAATAAATACTTATTAGAAAGTATTATAATTATTCTATCAAATTAGCGTCTTCCGTGATCATAAATTATCGAACCACAAGCCACTTTCTTGCTGATGTTATAGACCGAAATGAATTGTCTCCCAATAATTCTGATGAAGTTGCTCAATACCTTAATCAACTTGGAGATAAAATGTGCCACTCAGGCGAAGCTATCGAAACAATGTATTCTGTTGGTGATATGGTTCTTAAGGAAGTTATCATGGAACTAAAATCTATCATCGATAATATTGGACCAGGCCAAATTCTCTCACAACAGAATGCAACATACTTTGCAGATCGTTATGGAAAGATTTTAAATGCTGTCACTGATTTATGGGATAAGTTTCAAATAATTATAGATGAGCTGGATGATCTTTATATTTTATATAATGGGACGCATCATCAACTTGCTAATGGAATAAATGATGTAGAACTTTTTTTTGAAAAGATAACGCCAGAGCTGGGAGAGAATCATGATATGGAACAATTGAAACGAGAACTCGGTTATTTAAAACAGACAATGGAGAAGGTTCCTGATATTCGGCGTCAAATACATCGTCTTTTATCTGAATTTGATGGTCATCGACAGTTATTGATTAAGCGTCGTGGTGAATGGTATAAATTATGGAGACGAAAATTAGTTTCTTTTGAAGATATTGAAAGTTTAGAAGAAGTGATTTCAAAGTTAGATCGAATAGCTGAAAGATTTGTAAAAAAAGACGAAGAAAATATTGAAAAAAGGATATACATATAATTTTTAGTTAGGAATTTATATGCTATGTTATTACACAACAACGTATAGAAAAAATAATATTGGTCAATATTATGATTATTAAACTTGATTCGATTTAATAAAAAGTTATTTCACTCACTTTTCATTTCAATGTTGTTAATAACATTATAATTATTGAGTCTATTGATGTAATTGTGAAATAAAGAAATAATTAGGTTCAAATTGTCACATTGTTTGAATAATAATCAACTATTAAAAATTCAATATCTAAATAAAAACATCTCTAATAAAAATACAGTATTACGACAGGGTGAAATCCGCGATAATTTTTGGTAAAACCCGCGATAGACATGTAAAACCCGCGATAGATATTTAAAACGCGCGATGGATATGTAAAACCCGCAATAAATATGTGAAATCCACAATAGTCATGTAAAACCACGACGACTATGTAATATAAATCTCGCAATGATTATATAATAGCAATGACCTATATAAAGCATACAATAAAATTTAAAAATTTAACCTTTATATACATCTCGAAAACTAGGGATGGCAAATGTTTTAAAACACGATCTTAAAAATCAAGTTTATTTGATTTAAATCTGTTAAAAAATGTTTTAATACATTATTACGCAATTTGATCTGATTGCGTAATTTAGTATTTATGATTACTAACATTCAAAAAAAAAATAAAATCAAAAAATTCTTCAA